AGGATAGAGAGGTGTGCAGATGCGCTGTGCAACAGATACCAAATAACTACAACGCCTCTGTTGAAGGTCTAATTTTATTGGTCCATAACCTCGTTCACAGACACATTGGTGTACAGACTAACACACCCAAATCTGTTTGGGTGTCTTCCACTTTCCAAAGGAAAAGGAGCTTGTTTAAAACCCTTGTTCATTCCGATCGTCCACACCGTTGTGTACGCTCGCTATTCGTGTCTCATTACTGTTACGGTTGTTAATAGTCTCCATCCAGTCTAATCCTCAGACTTGGAACTTTTGAATCTACCGCGGACCCCACAGTCAGTTCAAACCAAAAACCGAATCAACCATGGAGCACATCAAGAAGAAGATGCAGGCGATGAAGTTGGACAAGGAGAATGCCTTAGACGAGTAAGTGAAAGAACCGAGCAAAAACAAGTTTCCATCTCCATTGTTTCACCGAACACTCGTCCATTGTCCAATTATGTTCTTTAGATGGGTGGCAGGTTTCAAGCTTGGGTAACCAATGTACACTGATTACGTGTTCTTATTAAAACCTAAGGCGTTTCTAGCAAAACAGAACGTCGCATGTTTACCCACACTTTCCAAGCATCATTCATGTCAGGTGACATGTGCAAATGGAACTGTGATGTGGAAAACGGGTCTCACTGAGTACATGACAGACAGATGAATTGCTATTGTCCACTATCCAATGCCCTATTCAAAGGTGGGAACAGTCTTCTGGTTTTTATAGCTTTGATTACATTTGATATGTTGAGGAAATGTTTGGCGTTTCGGATTCTGTCCAGTTAGGTTACATTTGTAACAGAACTAACTGAATCGTATCATTTAATATCAAAGAAACCGGGGCAACAGGGGCAGCACTGTTTTCGTTCGAAATTGTACAGAATTGATTGGGGCGGTTTTGTTTAATTTATTGAATGATCAAATTACACAAGTTTTGCAGTTGAAGGTAGGCCCATATATGATACACGGCATATCGGATAGCGAACATTCCAAGCTTCTTAGGGTGTATGAGTTTGTTCATCAAGCTCATACACCCCAAGAAGCTTGGAAACTTGAAGATGTTTTTAGCGAGAGAGATGAGAAAATCAGGCCAAATTGGTTTTGACGAAACCGGTTTACGACTTCTATTTCGAGGAAGCAATCGTTCATCGGGCTTCATCAGTTGTGTCAAAACTGGTCCAATATGGCTGGAAGCAAGGGATTTGGATAAACACTTGCTCTGTGATCATGGACTCAGCAACTGAACTGTTCACTCGTGGTCGGTCCAGCTTTCTTCTTTAGACTGCCGATTAAATCCCTATTTACTGTAGAAACGAAAAGGGTGACCATCTATCCTATACAGCACAAAGAGCTAAGTAAGGTATTTGAGACCTGACTCTCTTGATAAAAGTAAAACTGTAATCATACTGAAACCGAACAAATGTTATTGTTATGTTTTTAGGTGTTACTGTCACAAACACTTCACTGTTCATTGAAAATAATCATGGGAAAGTTATCGGTGTTATTAAATGCGCATAAAAGTTGAGTTGTGATGGCCGCTTCGGTTAATGGTAGACTTTCATGGTTGATTGACTAAGCAATGCGCTCCGGTTTCGTGATACTACCCCATTGTGTGCGACTTATTTCGAATTCCCATTTTCACATATGCCACTTATATTTTCACTATCGCTCTGAGCACTGTAGCTAAAATGAATCACTATCATTCGGTTTCATGTGCGGTCAACTCAGATAAGCGAATCGGGGTCCAAGAAACACACAGAGACTCTCATGCACTCTTTCTCATACATAGTTCACCGAAGAGAGACAAACAATTCTCCAAAAAACAGCATATACCAATCCATGAATGGGAACTCCGTCCCACTCTTTCATTAGCTTGATATTGAGCATTGCTCGTATATTTGCTTCATTTAATCATCACACACCTGGCGCTACTCGGTTTAGGTTGTATAGGTTTAAATGTTGAAAATGATGCCTGTTGGGTTATGATCATAAAACTATCTACACTGTCAATGGGATTTTTTAATTTTGGTAATTTCCCAGGGTGTCTGTCCGGTACTTATCCGGAATTAGGATTTTGGTGCCTGTGGGCTTGTCTCAAGTATCAATACAAATTTCTGTCGGAAATGCTTTGATCCATTTGCGATTTCTGTGCTTAGTTCCGTGTAGACATTACACGCACATACTATCCGAGGCTATCAGAAAAAAACTCCAAGTCAAAAATTTCATCTATTTTATTTTGCTAGTACAATCACAAATTCTGTAAATGCTATGAAGGTGCATGATGTAATGTCACGTGGCGGTGACAAATCCATTGTTTTTTTAAAAAAAACAATGGTTCATCGATCCAATATCTGTGGAGTCCAAGCTAGCCTCAGTTGAATAGGACTGAAACAACTTATCGTGATGTGTGGCTTGATAAACTAAGCGGAAATACTTTGCACACATTGGGAATCATTACAATCGATGATAAGTCAATGTATGTATGAGATTCCACTTTCCGATGTGTGGTGTCAGCAACCTTATCGCTGTGTCCAAAGCTGCGCTTCAATCCCACATTACGGAATCCACCGGCAGTGATTGGCCCGATCAATTGGGCCGTTCATCTGACTTCGTGGCAACCTCGGGCGGGCTTGTTTATGGTTCATCATCCACCAATACTGTTCTGCTAGCCGTGCAGTTCAATCCACAAACAACCTTCGACACACTACGCACACACACACACACATAAATATATATATACATATACACAACTACACATGCACACAGCTGGTGCACGACATAAATGATTGGCTAGGTTCAGAGCTGGATGGGATAGGAAAGAGTGATACCTATTGGATGCTCGGGGAACCTAGTACGAGCGGAAGCGAACTGATTGCCACTTTGGTGCCAATTTCGTGAGTGTCGGATTCTGAATCCGAAGGAGACTCGTTTAGCAAAGCAGTGATTTGATACAGAATAACGCGGTTCGAATCAGAAACCTACATTTTTCGCACAATCTACATTAACGGAATAAATAATGGAACATATCAAGAAAAAGATGGTGGCCATGAAGTTAGAAAAGGAAAACGCTATGGACGAGTAAGTTCGTGGTTTATGCTAAAATAATTATGTTCAAACTATTACATTTGTTATCGATCGCCATACTTAAATGTGAGCATAGCAAAATTTATACCGATCAAACTGAGTATTCATTTCTATCAAGCGAAGAATTTAAGCCAAATGTGACTTTCACTGGATCACTCTTGTAACAATGCGATTATTTTCGAATCCTATACAGTAATTTGAAAAAGTTGGTGAATTTACTGCCATGTGAATGTCCAATTCATTTATATCTTTGTAGGTTTGAAAAAATAATATCGTAGGAATAGTTGATAACTATTGAAAAGTGGTTCTCGTAGCTCGGGTGAACTGAATTCCATTGCAGCTGATCGCCGAGCTTGGCAATTTGTTTGCAAACGTTTCATCAGTGCTTGTGAAATGGCCACTTCACCTGCGGGGAACAATTACTTACAACTGATAGTAATCCTCGCGATCATCATCTTTCATAGTTTTATTTAGAATGAGAAATAAAGTGCCGGGGTGATTAAGACAAGCTACTGTTAGAATGTGAAGCTCTCTTCTTAAAAGCAGAAGCAGTCACGGATATTGGACCGTCAGCCTAGGAGACCAATTGAGTAGGCGAAATTGTAAATATGAAACCGTTTAAATTCTCACATCTGAAAGAGTAATAAAAGCCATCTGAAGGGAAACAAGAAATTGTGAATATGGGGAGTGAGAAGAAAAACAAATTGAAAGCATGTTTTTTTAATGCACAAATAGACGAAAGCACGCAGACTTGCCTTTTAAACTGATAATCTTTGTATCTGATACTTTCTCCAAGGGCCGACCAACTGGAAGCCAAGTTGCGCGAGAAGGAGTTAGAGATGCAAACTAAGGACGAGGAGATGGCTGAGATCGCGAAAAGAATACAACAACTGGAAACTGATAAGGAGACTGCTCAGACTCAACTAACTGAAACCAATCAGAAATTGGATGAGACAGAGAAGCGCGCAACAGAGGTGAGTTGAATGAGAAATACACTGGTAAATCTGTTGAACTATCTTTACTACTAATGAGTAGTGCGATAGCAAATTGAAATGAAAACCTCAGAAAGGAGTGGCGTCCTTTTTGTGGTTATGCCAATAAAAGTATTTTTTTCACTGACGATTCTCCCGTAATGTAGGCTGCCTGTAAGAATGGTGCCAAATGAATGAAAAGCAGCTAAAATATTATTTCAGAAAATAAAATCAATAATATGGATGATTTCTTAATTATTTGTGGCCGTGGACTTACCGACGAACCGCTGTCCCTGCTTTGAATAGGTTTTCAAATCCTCGTTCACCACAGTTTAGTTTGCGAGGGTTATATATCAATAACTCATTGCTATTCCGATGTAAGTTAAGGAAATCCCTTGAGGATTATTCCGTGTCTTATCCTGACACAAAATTATAATCCTCTCTCCTCGGTTCCCATGGCGCTACAAATTCAGTCGCCGTGCCACTCAAAGAACCCAAATTTCAATAAACGCAAATCGTCCGATACCTCACTGTTGAGAAAGGATCTACGACAAAGAGATAGACCTATGATGGTGGCTTCAATGTATGCAGGTCATCCAGTTGCTACACTGGACAGAGCGATGTCGTCTTCGGTTCATAGTCTACCATCGGTCAACAGAAGGCACAAAACAAGAAAAAGTCGCCCGAAGAACAGACACGAAAATCCACCTCATATACCGATGTTTGACTGCTCACTGTGCGCCAGTATGTATGAAGGTTCTTATGGAACATATATGCAAACCTGCTGTGGCACTCAAAACTTTGAACGTCCACAAATAGTAGACTACCTCGGCCCACGACTGGAGCCGGAAGGAGAAGCACAACCAACAAGAACAGAAGAAATCAGAATCATCACCACTCGCAGAAAATATCAACCTGAAGAGCCCCTTTTTTCGGACTATGGAAGTGACTTAGACGACGAAGATGAGTATCTGAAGCGGAGAGGAAATCTCAGTACGATCGATGAGAAAACAGCAATGTCGGAAGCTATATCAGCTGTGCATTTGAATTCTGCAACAATCATTAAAATGGCGATCATTGGTGCAGAATTGCAAAATATTGTCAAAAAGTCAGTATCCAAGGTAAGAACACTGTTATTTTTTGTTTAATTCGTTATCTCCTGGTCGCGCGATTTTTGAGTGACCTTCAGCTAAGGCGCGTTCCGGACGCAGCTTCCAACTTTTCCTCAAGAATACCTTTCCATCATGGCGTCCCATATTGCCAATGAGCTTAAATGTAAAATGGCTTCAATGAGGGTTCAAGTTGACGAGTTAAAAAAAGAAATAGAGCGAAAGGAGAAGACATTAGATGAAGAAAGCAATAAACACGCTAAAGTTTGTCGTTTATGTTTTATATTTACTTTCAGGCCGAGACAGAAGTATCTGCCCTTCAGAAGAGAATCCGACAGCTCGAGGATGAGCTGGAATCTACAGAAACACGGCTTACGGAAGCTACCGCTAAGCTCGAGGAGGCTAGCAAGGCAGCTGATGAAAGCGATCGGTAAGTGGCTTGGTCTGTCTTACTTGTTAGGTAAATACGCCTCAGTCCCCCATTCGTAATTGTATTGTTTTAAAAATCAGGTAATATTTAAACACCCCAGCTTTTGAGTACTCTTTTTTATCGTAAAAAGATTTGAGGTGCATGACCCTCGGCTATGCTCAATTACGTTTTTATTGCTCGTGACTTCGTGTTTTGAGTTCTGATTGTATTTAGAACTCAACTATAGTTGCACTGTAATTGCGTATTTCTGTATGGGAATCAATTAAAAAGCACGGTAATCCTTGTGCTAGTCGTGCGGTGTTGGACTTCTTGGTCGTTTCCCCCCGATACATCCCGGTCGACACTCATTCGATTACAAAAACCCATTCGTCGCAACTTGAACTTCCCAGGTGAACCACCGATGGCCCACCAACCTGATTATCGGCTTTTCGTCCTCTTACTTTGGTGGGAAAACACCTCTGCCACGAGAAGGCAGTGAACAGGGCTTCCTTGGCAGAGGCTATTTGAGACGCCTGGTCGTATGGAAGCATTTCGCGAGGTGCAAGGGATAGGTGACCAGCCGCAACCCAAGACACCCACTCCCGACCATACTGAGGTTTTTGGAGCCCTTTGTCTAATTAGGAGTGCAGGCACAAAGAAAGTAGGCATAAGTGAGACAATCAAGGAGTCTGACGGCACTGACTCGTATGTGGCAACGGGGTCTTTGACGATGAGTAGAAAATTTTAAGCACACTTCTCATCGATGAAAACCTCCTAGTAGCTGGTTCAACGGGGTTACTACTTCCAGTAGAGGTTATCCCGAAAATCAGTTAGCTCAAAAGGCATAAGGCCTTCAACCCAGTTGCAGAGTCACCATCTGCCTTTAGAGGTGGAGGGTCAGCCTTGGTTTTGTAGTTGACAAAACTCCTGGGCTCAATATGGGAGAGGGTACTAGTTCCAATGGAATGGTGTGATTTGGTCGTCATACCGATTTACAAGAAAGGTGACATCCTCCATCGAAAACCAAAGAGGAATTGGTTCAATCAACATTTTCTCTAAGCTTTCACTATTGCTATACTCCGTCGGTTGTCCCGCACGTGAACGGTACACGCGGGAGAACCAGGCTGGTTTTAGACCTGGTCGAAGTTGTATAGACCACATTTTAACCCTTCGATAAGTTTTAGAACACAAGCACTCCTTCCGTAGACCCACCATTCCTATCTTCCTCGATCCGAAAGCGGCTTTAGACTCAATCGACTAGACTCTGGCGCTGCCTTTCTCTGAAGGAGATATCCGAGAAGTTGATTTCCATTTTGCCATCTCTTTATACTAACAACCGTAGCCGATTCCGAGCTTACGACACTTTTTCACCGTTCACTATAAGAAGTAGTGTTCGTCGGGGTTGCCCCCTCCGTTTCTATTTAAATTTGTCATTGATTTCTTCAAATAGGCCTATCGTCGTGCGAGGATAGCGGCATCAATTGGCTCCCAGTAGGCGGACTGTTTGATCTTCAATTCTGACAGTTACGTCTCCCTAGACTCTATCCCACCCGCCCCCTCCGCGTTATTGTTATCGGTAATATTGTTGTGACGTTGGCACCATATATATCTAAGTGAACATCTAGGTAAGTTGCAAGCTTTTCTGGATAGTTCGAGTGCTAGTTTGTCTAGTTTCGGTATGCGTTTTGCACGTTCAGTGTAAAATGTTGCCACAGGGCGGGGTTGGCCGAGCCCTCAATCGCACTCTAGGGAAGTAGTAGAGGAAGTGGGCAAGTTTTGCTATTTGGGTAGCTATAAGTCACCTGGCGGACGCGTCACAGATGGAATGTCCGCACGCATACAGAAGACTCGATTGGCATTTGTAAACTTGAGACGCCGTCGCGACATCCGGCTGTCAGTGAAGAGTCGAGTGTTTGCTGCAGCATTTGAGCCACTCCTGGTGTACTCTGCAAGAACTTGACCACTACGGGAACAAGATAAGGATCGATTGTCGACGAAGTTGCACCTTGATGTGGTGTGATGCGTTGTGCACCTCTATAACCCAACGAGCTGCATAGGATGACTTTACCAAGCTAGGAAATCTTATCATGTCTGGCGGGTCGAAGGGTAGAGGTCAGACGAAGTCCAATCTCCTGGTCCTCCGGATTTTGGTTTCAGTCGTTAAAAATGATGGAGGAGTAATCTATCCAAGCAAAAAGGCCTATCCAGTACCAGCTCTCGACGAACGGCAACGTGACGCCCCAGTTAAACTGGTACGCTAACTCAAATAGACGACCACAGTAAGCTAACCTTAGTGTGGCTTAGTGCAAAATTGCATGTCCTATCGGAATACCTGCGTGGAGTCTGACCATTCATTAGTTTTGATGCAGTTCACTCGAACTCACTGGCCGGCGACAAAGCCAGCAAAGTCGATAAACTCATCATAGCCTGTCTGCCTCAGCAGTTTATGCACACTATGAATCTGTGCTAATGCGTGAGCTAAGTGCGCTTCAACGCTATGATCTAGATGAGCAGTGAGATCAGATTGGGTGAACAATGCATTCTGCAGCGAATGTTGCTTGTGGGTCTGAGCCTCAAGCCTGTCGGAGTTATTGGATATCTCATAAGTCAATAGCCCTGACGGAGAAAACGAAGACGACGAATACCGACCTGTCAGTGTGAAAACAGGGTCAGATAGATTCCGGAACTTCAGCTCACAAAGTCTCAATAAGGAACGTAAAAACTGGTGGGCAACAATAGCTAGTGAAATGGAAGTGTGAGCTGCATCAGGGAATAGTCAAAGATTGTTCCAACTGATATGCAATACCGGAGGTCGGCAAACTCCAGTTAGTGAAACGGTCTGCGATGGAAGGTGACAAGCTATTCACAATAAAGATCAACGGCTTGATCGATGGTCGGAATATTTCAACGAACAGTTCAGCTGGTCTGGCGCTAGCTAGATTACTTCATTTGCAACTGAAACTCCGTGGGCAGTAGCGTGCGATCCTTCGTCAGAAGCAGAAGTTCGGTTTTACATTCAAGCTCTGAGGCGAGGAAAGGCAGCAGGATCGGATGGGATCCTCCCCACTCTGTTTATTATAGGGATGATAAACTCATGAGCTCAATTACTAATTTACTGCAGAATATTTGGACTCAAGAACCCATTACTCCAAGGTGTTAGGTTTGGTCACACTCCGATGTCTGACTCCTTTTAGAGGGACCAACATCCGTGAACAGCAAGCCAGGTTTTGGTCTGGTCGTGGGTTTATTGAGCAAATTTTTACGTTTGCATGAAGTCCTTGAGTTCGGTCATGCCCACCGTCGGCCAGCGATCACAGTGTTTTTAACCTCAAAGGAGCCTTCGACTCAGTTGACATCGAAGCACTGATGGTTTTCCTTCTTTAAAAAGGAATGCACCACAAGTACGTTAACTTACTGAGGTTACTGTGCTCACATGCTTGGTCGAGTGAAGGTTTCCAAAGAACTAAGTGGGCCGTTTGTCACCAGCAGCCCTCTTTCGCCATTCCTGTTCAATTTCGTCGTAGACGAAATTCCGAAGAACGCTTTAAGTGGCCTGCAAGGTGTAGATATTGAATGAGCAGCTGGAGAAAAACTGTGCGATTGCGAGCACGCGGACGAAATCATCTGTCTATTTGAATGTATGGAGGACGCGCAAAGCGCACTTGATAGACCAACAAGTGATGTTACCACATTCGGTATGTGATTTGCACCTTGAAAGTGCGAAGTGATGCTACAAAACTGGGTGTCACCTACTCCCGCTTTGAAGCTGAATAGTTATAGTGGATTGCTTTTCCCACTCTGGTGATTAATTTTTTTATTAGACACCTAAGTGTGATGAACCGCAGACGGGGTAAACTCCATAGTCACGAGGATCAGCTGTTCAGTGGTCGGAACCGGCAACCTAATCCCCGGGACTGTGGCGAACCACATAAGGCCCCGATAGGTTAGGCGTGGTACTGAACCGGACGACAGCAGAGCTGCCAACCGCCAAAGTATGGTGGCGGTAGTGGGGCTCGAACCCCGGACCATAGGGTCAAAAGCACGCCGATGACAGCGACTAACCCACCGCGCCGCCACCACCCAATGACGGTATCGCAGCAAAGGAGACAACCGCCCGCATTTCCAAGGCTCGTGCAGCGTACGCAGAACTGAAACACCTTTGGTGTAGACCGGATGTTTCACTGAAGTTAAAAAGTCGGGCATGATGTTCTTTCAGTTCTGCTTTATGGTTGAGACCTTGCATATGCGAGTAGAGGATGCCCACCGACCAGAAGTTTTCGGTGTTTACGCAGTTTAGCCCACATGGGATGGATTGAATGAGTTAGTAATCTGGAGGTAAGCCGTTGCGTGTTTGGTAGTCTATCAGATATAAGCCTGCTAGCACTACTACCACAACCAAGGTATGGATAAGTGCGGTTCGTGCACCTTTTCTTGATTGGTTTTGAATCAGGGGTTTGACCAATTCCCTTTGGTGAACTACCTTTGGTTCACCGACCTGGTAAATGTTGGTTTTTCGTCTCCTCACTGTAGTGGAAAAACATCGCCACCAGAAGACTGGCGCTTCCTCAGCAGAAGCTATTTAACGCATGCCAGTCGGGGTAGCTCGCTCAGGAACCTACCACATTCAGACAACACTTCTTTTTACTTTGGTCCACAACTATCCCTCAGTTCTCATTTGTGGCTCCGTAAAATTGCTTGGATCTGACAACGACTAAACCTTGGCAATCGTTTGGTGGGTGTTCTGAATCAAGTAGGATGAGTTCTTTGGACTGCGGTGAGTTGTGGCTTCCCCTACATTTTAAATAGTTCCGGCAAACTGAGTTGACAAGATCATAGTCTCAAATCAACGGCTTGGTAGGTGGTCGGAATCCAAACGCATCGTTGTAAAATCTATCTTATCGGCCACACCGTTTTGTGTGCAGATTCCAGGTGCACCCTCAAGGTTTTAGCATTGGCATTCCCGACGCATCGTCTATTCTTCATGAACCAGGCTCATCCTAATGTAGTTAGTTGAAGTGATGAGAGTTCTTTGTACCCGACCTTTCAACCTAAGTGAAACCTTACTTCGACACCAACTGTGTTTCTGTTCCGCGTATGCCTCTATTCTCCTTAATTGTATTACTGTCATTCTTCATTCACTTGCTTAAGTAGAGAAAGCAATCGACTACAATACTTAGGTCTACGCGGCCTTGCAATAACAGTCAAGCTGGGCAACGGCCTGTGTAGAGCTGGCCGCAAACCGCCGTGCTTTAACAGGAGTAGTCCGCGATATCCATAAAACCGACTTGCACTGTTATAGAAGACATTCGCGTATAATCATTTACTCTGCACTTCCCGGCTCTGGTTTTGCCTACTGTTTTTGGCTAGTGTATTTGATGAACTGATCAGTGAAAGCCAGAGATGCGCAATTTAGAATTTCTTCTTCTTATCGCTTGCATGACCCCTTGCACGATAAACTCGACCATCTGGCTACTCTTGTAGTGCATTCATACTTTTCGGAAATTTCTATTCTCAAACTGCATGTTTTTTCACCGTGGATATTGATACTGTCTAATAAGTCCCTAGTGACAACCGAAACCCCAAGGCCCTTAGTGCTCTCCGTAATCACCTCATCGTTGGTATTCAGTATACATATTATACTATCACACGTCTGAATCCAGACTGTAACCAACAAATCATAGTACAGTAATCTTGATGAAAAAGAAAAACGTTCCATGATGTGGGATACTGCCAGGTTGTCCAGGCCAAGGTAGGTGAAATTTCTTGAGAAATCTACAGCCGGAGCCTTTGGCTAACCAAAACCTGACCCGCAAGGCAGCGGGGCTGTGTATGAAGACCGCGATCCATTGGGGGACAGTGTCCAGTTTATCGGATCATACGCCCTTTGGACGGAGTCAAACGTCCAAGGTACCATATATACTGTGATGCTCGATCGAGCTGGTGACCACTGCCACAACCAGAAAGTTGTCTGTGTGGTTCGTACTCCTCCCCTTGGTTGGTTTGGAATCAAGGTTTTTGGCCAACTCCCCTAGGTGAGCTATGCATCCCTACCAGTGAGGATCAGCTGTAGGTTGTCACACTGTAAGACCAAGTTTGATGAAGGTATGACAATGGTAATGTCCCGCAGCGCTGTGCTCATGTCCCTTCATGCTGAGTGGCACCGGTGGTGGCAAGCAGCTTAGATGTTGTCCAAGTCCCACACATATACCTTGTCGTTTTCACTCCAAGTTAAGGACTTCAGATTGCCGGCTTCCACGAGTGAACAATAGGTCTGTGTAACTATAGGGTTGGCACCGTCTGCTGGTTACCAAGCTGTGGTAGAGTAATAAGCAAAACGGATATTGTTGCGTGCGTCTAAGTTCACTCTTCTCTTCTGGAAGTACTGAAAAAGAGGGTAATGGCACCAAAGCTTGGGTTGCCTTTCGGTAGCAAAATCAATAAATCCGGATAACGGAAGATATCAGAGAATACTGTATTTAAGTTGATCTGTCCGTGATGGGAACCAGAGAGATGTAGTAGGAAATTTGTTTGTTTCCTTCGGGAACGCAAAATTTATTCGAACAGCTTAACGTTTAGTATGTCATTAGCGTCAGCGCACGGTAAAATACTATTTTTTTTAAAGTAAGGCTTGTGTTCATCCGATATACTCTAAATGTTTAATTTCTAGTTTTTCATTGTCGTAAATCACCGGTGAATTTTTCCACCACCATTGAACCATCTTACTCTTTCATTTCTGTTGAACATTTGGTTTTATTCTGCAAGTTTGAATGCCATATCTCGATACCAATTTCAAATTTATACCATAATACATGTACCTACAACACCCAGATCTCGAAGAACGTTGGAAAATCGACAAACTTTGGAGGATGATCGTATTGTTCGGCTGACAGACTTGGTTCGCAACACAACCTGTGCGGCCAACGAAGCAAAAGACAAATACGAAGAGGTAGACGCTACTTCTTTTCCGCCGCTGTTTATCAGAACTTGTTTGACCATTTTCAGGTGTATACACCACTAGTGCCAACTCTCACCAATTCATAGGCTAACTTTCTAGCGCACCCTATGTAAAACCCTTGTACAGATTTTTCACATTGTTTTTCTTCTATAATTCTGTAACATTGCCTATGCACGCAGCGGTCGTAAAGTTTTGGAGAACCGCACGATTGCCGATGAGGAANGATGAGGAACGTATCAATCAGCTGGAGGAGCAGCTAAAGGAATCCACTTTCATGGCTGAGGATGCGGATCGCAAATATGATGAGGTGAAGTGAATATCACCTGAATATCTCAACCTGGCATGCCGCTGCATCCTAGCCCAAATGCATGCGATTCGACCTTTCCTGTAGACTAGTCCGCTGTGTCGTAAAAGTCCATGAAATTAGTACAGAGAACTAAGTGCATGCACTCCTCTCCCGATGCGTGCTATTTGCGTTTTTTCGTCTCGCAAGAAACTCTGTTATGGCATTCTACTTTCCGAGGATTTCATAACAGGTTCTGTAAAACTAAGCACCCGAAGTGGTAGTTTGTTTGTCTCCCTCCCTCTGTCCGTTTCTATGCAGAATCTAATTAGGTCCTGGAAAGACTTGGGTTCTGTTGCTGTACAATTCCGGCTGCTCTGTCTCCTAATTTCTTGTAGCTATGTTTAGTTGCCTTGACTGTAATTATGTGTGTGCATGTGGAGTTTTTTTGCCATCTACCTGTCCCTACCTACCTACGTACGGCACACTTCGTTCATCAGCGTTTTTCTTGAATCATATCCTGTAACTCACGTATATTTGTCAAAACCGTTATCATTTGAGGATAAGACCATTTCCACTCTGTTAGTAGAAGGCTCCATTTGTACTCAGATATTCCTATATCATTATAGTTGAGTTGTTTTTTTCACTACGGCCAATATAGGTTCTGAATCAGTACAACCGCTGAGAGATTGTTTATTTTTGGTCTTTATATGATAGGATACTATTTTAAACGGCAAAAACTGACGTAATTTCCTTATGTTCTGAGGGGTTTTCCGTTAGTTGTAGATTCCAGTGTTTTATTGAAGTATTAATTTTTCAGTCATGTCCATTGTAGTATCATGTGTATATAAACCCCGTGACAGCAGCTTTTGTTTTATTAGTTGGGATATTTCATCTATCCGTGTGTCTATCTCGCTGCATGTATCATAATTTATACTCAAATTTGTGTTGATTCATCACATGAGTGAAACATACATACACGAAGTTGCTTGTATCTCCTATACATATATACATATGTATATTATCTCTCATTACGAACTGCAAAATGTCCAGGCTGCGCGTAAATTGACCATCACAGAAGTGGAACTCGAGCGCGCCGAATCGCGTCTGGAGGCTGCTGAAAGGTACCAGGCCGCACAGCGTGCCACTTTTTCGCCGCCCTGCTCCGTTGTCGTTGTTGTTGTTGATGATGTTGCCGCTGCTGCTGTTGCTGTCTCTGTTGGTTTGTCTGTGTCCGTCCGGATCGTCTCCATGCGCGCTTTTCACGTTTACGTGCGCAATCATGCGTGCCCTGTTTCCTGTGCGTGTGCGCGCTCCCATCCACCACCCATCTTGAGCGTATAACGCCGTATCACACAGGCTGCTTCGCTTAGCATGCACACGCACTCACCCACCTAATCTACTTCGCCGATATGCTCACATACCAATGAAATCCCTTGCACTTGATGCGCCCGCCAGCGTCATCACTGCTCGACTTGTTTTCGTGTTTTGCTTTTCTTCTGGAGGGAAAATTTTCGGCGTAACTGTTGACCTGATCACGTAACCGCATGCGCTTCTCCCCATGTTTTTTTCCGTTTTGTGATTTTCTCATGGTTTTCATGAGTTGATCTTGCAAACGATTTGTTCGTTTCTCACAATCGCTCATTGAATCTCACCGATATGGGACAGCTCTTAATCTGGCTTGGATTTGTTCGTTTTGTGTCGGTGCCTCTGCCACAC